ATGTGTCTTTGCCTCTAGTCCTGCCATGATTAAAGACATTGGATGTGAATGGGTTATTTTGGGGCATTCTGAAAGAAGAAACATTTTCAAAGAAACTGATGAGGTAAGTGACATCAACCAGTCAAAAAGGGATGAAAATATTATCATTATACAGGGGTGTGTGGAAAAAGATCCTTAATGACTCCTGATCTGATATAGAATTCTTCCTATGTTCCACAATAAATATATATAAATCAAATTAGAAGGAGAATTTATAGCAGCCTATCAGAAGTCACCTATGGCTATCTATTTTAGGGCTAATTATATTTTCTGTCTTGAAATGTCAGTCTTTGCCAACACTGAAGTCATGCCAGGCAAGACATGCTAGGTTATAAAATTTATGCAAAAATTGCTCAGGTTATAGCCAAATAAATATGGCATCACTGAATAGCCTCAATAAACCTTGTAATTCAAGATAAAAAATAAATATACAGTTTAAAATGGTTTTAAGCTACATTGATTCTTAATTTCTTTTGTCTGTTAGCCCTCAGTCATTCATGTTTATTAGCAGTGTCATCAATTTTCTTTGTCTCTTTACCCTAGTTATTCATGAGGTCAATGAAACTGAGAATCAAGTTGTTTTGGAACCATTTTAACCTAAACAACCACCCCCAAGTCTGATGAAATTATAAATAGATATTAAATACAACTAAGAAATGCTCGGGAAAAAAAATCTAAACCCCCAGTGGGTTTCGAACCCACGACCTTCCCGGTACCTGAATTTTAGTTTGGACAGTGATGTCTACCTCCCAGCTACATGTAGCTACATGTACTAAAATGAAAATATCCCTGCTTTATGAGTCTTTATTGGTAAATTTATGAAAGGTTAAAAAAAGAGGTTAAAGATTTGTTTATAGTGAAAATATCCCTTAGCTTATCCAGCTACAATGTGCAGTGTAGTTCACAGGCACCCCACTAAAATAACTAGAGACAAAATAACCGAAAATAGGACTGAACATATCAGGATTAAACACCCCAACCGAAAGGAGGCGACCAGTTGGCTTATTTACAAGCATGGCCCAGAATTTGAACTTGGAAGGATCAAGAACGAATCCAGCAAGTGAACAGAGCAGGACTCGAACCCGGAATGCGGGTTTGATGTACTGACCATTAGGCTACAGTGCCCCTAGTTATTAGATCAGTGCTGCTGATTTAATACCCTTTTTTGTACCATTTTTCTCAGCTTATAGGAGAGAAGGTAGCACATGCATTATCTGAAGGTTTAAAGGTGATTGCTTGCATTGGAGAACTGTTGTCTGAGAGAGAAGCTGGCAAAACTACAGAGGTGGTGTCACGACAGATCAAAGCAATAGCTGGTATGTACTATTTTTGTTTGCTGAAAATAACGTCTGCAGTGTAATGTAGATTTGTGAAAAAGGAGAGATTCTATGGACAGGCAGGTTACCCCACCAAAGAGGGTTACCTCACCTTCCTGGTGTCCCTTATCTCCATGTAAACAGGCCTAAGTTTCTGGACTGAGAAATGTGTATTAGTAGGAGAACATTTCCCTATCTGATCGAAAAAAAAAAAAATCAACAACAACGAAGACAACAACAAAAACAGAAAAAGAATACAGTGAAACCTGTATTAAGCGGACACCCTCTATTAAGCGGACAGTAGCTGAAGTCCCCAAATTTATTTCCCTTATTTACTTTAAATAAAAACCTTTATTAAGCGGACACCTCTATTAAGCGGACGCGGACACCTAAAAAGTACCTGAAAGGTTTATTTCTATTATTTCCAACCTGTATTAAACGGGCACTTGTAATTAAATTCCACTACCCAACATGGCAGACACCGGAAATGCGAAAGACTGCCACCCACAAATTTTCATTTTTTACCTTTAAAAAAGTGACTTGCCGAACTTATTTGAGTAGTTTCACAGCGTAGTTATGTTTTCTATTTCGTTTTGTTTGTATAGAGCTTGTTTCACTCATCTGATTTCTTCAGATTTGAGTTGCAATCTATGTTTATGGTACTGGTTCACTAAAATAAAGAAATTAATGCAAACGTATATCGTCATAGTCTCTGGGAGTATTCTAAACGTTTCCACTGTTCATTTGAATGGCATTTGACACCTCGTATGACGTTACCTATTGAAACCTGTAGGAGGCGAACACCCTGTATTAAGCGGACACTACAGCATTCCCCGAGGGTGTCCGCTTAATACAGGTTTCACTGTAGAAAAATTAAGACACTCCTTCACACATCCTCCCATTTCAAAGATTGAAAAAATGTTGCGCTTTGCACAATGTGGCCTTTGCCTAGCTTTTTGTTTGTTTTCTGTTCAAGTTTGTAACTCTACATGTACATGACTTGTATGCCCTTAAGTTACCAGTTGTCATATATACAGTCTATCTGTTGCTATGTTAATAAGAGACTTACATGTATTCCTGAAGTTGCATGTTGTCATCTTTGTGACTCATTTACTTCTTCTTATGTGCGTTGCTTACAGACAATGTTTCTGATTGGAGTAAAGTGGTGATAGCTTATGAACCAGTGTGGGCAATTGGTACAGGCGTCACTGCCACACCCCAACAGGTAAGAGCCACGAGTATCACATATCGGATTGGTTCTGTGTCACACTTTGGTGCACTGTGAACAAGTTCGAGGGCTGAAGCGGAAGTGAATAAGTAGGAGACAGGCCAGGAACCCACTGAGACGGAAATAAATATTCAGGGGCCCGGTTCGACGGAGATGGTCAAGTTTAACCCAGGATTAAGCCAAATTTTAAGCACGGTTTACTTGTCTAAGAACATGTAACTCAACCTTACAAAAATATTAATACCCTTGAGCCTTTGCTCTGAGAGACAATAATGATAACACAAAATGTTACACTAAGCAATGCATAGGAAGGTAATACAAAAAGTGGAACAAAATGTTAATCCTAGATTAACGCTAATCGGCCTTTCAGGAACTGGGGTCAGGAGTGAGAATTGGGATTTGGTTCACCAAACCCTTTCGGCCAATTGCAACCGCTCCGGCACAGAGCTCGATGTGCATGAACGATTTGTTCCAGTCATCTGCCGTTGCTATTCACGAACAAAAAACAAAAGAAAGTGAGATTTGTGGGAAGTTTCTTGATGTTGGGGTTAGGTGCAATCACCAAGTGAAGTAATACCAGTACACAACATTGAAAAGACGCTGGACGTGTCTTCAATAATTTATGCCAAAAATTTTCGCTTCAATACAACATTGAAAAGACGCTGGACGTGTCTTCAATGATTTATGCCAAAAATTGTCGCTTCAATGATTCTGGCGCTACGCGATTCTCGTCGCACAGGAAACGAGACGCGACTGGTGACTCACTTTTGAGCGGTACTGTAAGCCACAACACAGTTCGCTACTCTGAGGTTGCGCGGGAGACCGGGTCGAGATGGTTGTCAAGTGCATTGTGGGACTGTTTTGGGGACGAATTTTCAACGTGGCGACAAATTCGTCACCCAAAACAGTCCCACAATGCACTTTGACAACCATCTCAACCCGGTCACCCGTATCTTTCTTTCCTGTGGTTGTCATTTCCTTTATTGATTGCAGGCTCAAGAGGTACATCATCAGCTTAGAGGTTGGCTCAAAGAAAATGTGTCAGCGGCTATCGCTAGTTCAACGAGAATTATCTATGGTGGTAAGTGAGCCAGTACGCGACATCTCTGGTTTCCCCGCAACAATAGAGAGCTTTAGATTCTAAGACGAGGACGACTACGACTACGAGATTTCATTTTCTCAATACTGAGTAGAGACCTTTAGATTCTGAGACGAGTACGAGTACGACTATGAGTAGGAGATTTTCTCAATACTAAGTAGGGCTCGCGCGTGAACCAGCGTCAGTTTGGCGGGAAAACATGACTGCCGTCGTCATTCTTCTACGAGTTTTTGCGAGAATGTCGTGGTAACGGAAACAAATTATAAAGTGTTAGAGGTTTCATCATTTTGCGGCCGGGAGGTGGCTTAAGGTCTTTCAGTAAGGATAACAGGGCTATTTTTAGTGAAAAAGAAGTGCAATGAAGCTTTTCGGGTGTCTATAATTTCAGAATACGCGAAAAAACTTCAAGTCAAATCTTGTTCTCAGCTCGTAGTCGTTCTCGTCCTAGAATCTAAAGGTCTCTAGTATTGCTCACTCGTGAACCAGCGTCATTTTGGCGGGAAAACGTGATACCCGTCATCATTCAACCACGAGTTTTAGCGAGATTAGAGAGCATTAGATTCGAGGACGAGGACGACATTTCATTTTAAGCTTTCTCGCCTGTTCTCTCAAAAGACACCCCGGAAAGCGTCATTGCCCGGGGGGGTACTTTAGGAATTACTGGGTGGGGATGTGCCGCTGCAACCCTGGAACTCTTGACCTGTACCAGAGCTAGTTCAGCTGAATTTTGCTACCCTATACTAGAGTAAACTCCCCAAATCCCCCCTATCCTAGAGTAGCTGTTTTCCAGAAACTACTGAGGTCACTAGCACAGTCTAGTCAAAACAAAACCTTATACCACAGTCCCTAGTCTAGATAAAATCTTCAACTAACTGATCAGTTTCCTGAAAAATGCTAACTAATGTTTTTAGACCCAAACGCTCCCATTTTTATACCCTATCCTAGAGTAAACTGCTTGAAAACCATACCCTTGACAGCTGATTGATCAAGCAAATTTTCAATCAATCAGAAGCACAACCGAGGTTACCAAACGGAAGGGAAAAATCATCTAGCAACAAACTTGAACTTGTCATAGTGCCAACCACTCTTCCAAAGTCAAACTTTTTCTGTATGATTTGCATATTCATATTACGCGCGTTATAAAAGATCCATTGTCCAGTTGTCCCTAGTTATTTTCGTTATTGTAACGTACATTTTTATATACCTATTGCATTTTTGTATATAGTAAATTTTATTTAAATGTTTCTGCTTCTTGTACATATTCTTGTATATTTTTACTTACTAATTTTTTAAAGGGCCGTAAGTTAGGAATCGTAAGAGGCATTTACGTCTCCTTCTTGAATTGAAGTTATTGTATTGTACTGCGGGATAATTAATGACCAAAAATGATAAATCAAGCTGTCATCAGGGGCACCCTACGACTGTTTTCTGTAAAATATATGTTCGGAGAAGCAAATATTCATTAGAATTTTCGGATCATTACGTTTCTACCCCACCCATCTAACTTATTTTTCTTCACTCACAAACTTCAGGTTCTGTGAACGCGAAAAACTGTCAAGAGCTTGCTAAAGAAGGTGACGTGGATGGTTTTCTTGTAGGAGGTGCGTCCTTGAAACCTGAGTTCGTTCAGATAGTTAATGCAAGGCTGTGAAATCACTAAACGTCTACAATACTCTGTCATGAGAGGAGCTTGTAAACCACCTAAGAAAATCAGGAGAAAAATCTTGTACTAGGATGTTAGAGAATAAAGTTTAAGAGTATAAGTGTGCAAGCTGTATTTTCTTTTTTGATACAGTGCCTTGTGTATTTTTTTCATTTTTTTTCCGTATCACTAATATGATTTTGTTATTACGTTTCGAGATAATTGAGTATTATTATTTATATATTTTATTGTGATTTTTGTTTTTAAAAACTTTTCTGAGGACCACAAATTTATTAGTCTATGGCTATTACGTGCTACCCTCTTCAAATAAAGGCTCTACTAATTGAGTTCAATCCTGGACATAATGGTTTTATTAAAAACTGAATCATTGGATAATGCAATTCTAGAGCTCTGATTGGCTTAGCCATCATGGTGTATGGGCCATTATACCATGCACTCCAAATATGGTAAGTGTACGCGTCTGCTTAAAATTAAAAACAAGCTAAAAAATCGGTTGTTTTTACAAATAAAGTCGGGAAAAATTATCGATATTTTGTGGGCATTTTTAATTAAACAATTATTCCACTTGTTGGATGTGAGATGATTATCGCCCCTATGATTATAGCCAACTCGGTTCTAGGCGCCTCGTTGGCTATCTGTCATCTCATATCCAACGCGCACTCGTGGAATAATTGTTACTAAAATCCAACTAATGGTCCCCGATTATCAATGCTGCGTTCTGATTGGTTGAGCTACTACTAGGCTATATGTTATAGCCCACTAGTAGCGAAACGCGGGCTATTTGGCGGCAAAAAAGGATTTAAGTCTAGCATTAACTAGCTAAAAATTTTTTATTCTCGATATTTTTGACCAACTAGTTGGATTTTAAACTAACACAATTATTCCTCTCGCCCTCATGGCCTCTGAGTCATAACCCATTCGGCCTTCGGCCTCATAGGCTATTGACTCAGAGCCCATTCGGGCTCGAGGAATAATTGTTAAATATATTTTGGAAGAAGGAGAATTCTTACACAAGAAATCTCAGAAAAAGTTCCTAGCTCGAAGGTAGTTCAGACGCTCTAACCACTGAGCTACTACAGGCTCTATGGCGAACAGGGTCGAAATTTAATTATAACTACACNATTATCAATGCTGCGTTCTGATTGGTTGAGCTACTACTAGGCTATATGTTATAGCCCACTAGTAGCGAAACGCGGGCTTTTTGGCGGCAAAAAAGGATTTAAGTCTAGCATTAACTAGCTAAAACTTTTTTATTCTCGATATTTTTGACCAACTAGTTGGATTTTAAACTAAAACAATTATTCCTCTCGCCCTCATGGCCTCTGAGTCATAACCCATTCGGCGCTCGGCCTCATAGGCTATTGACTCAGAGCCCATTCGGGCTCGAGGAATAATTGTTAAATATATTGTGGAAGAAGGAGAATTCTTACACAAGAAATCTCAGAAAAAGTTCCTAGCTCGAAGGTAGTTCAGACGCTCTAACCACTGAGCTACTACAGGCTCTATGGCGAACAGGGTCGAAATTTAATTATAACTACACCAGTCACACAGGATATGTTTGAGGTAAACCGGAAAAGGACATTTCTATGTTTGGACGCTAATGATGATACTCTGTTATCAAGAAATAAATGACGTGAATAGTCCTGAGTGACGTGCGTAGCAACAAAAAACAGCCTTTTGTGGTTTTGTTGTTAAATTGTTTGTTTGTTTGTCTTTGGTCAAGCGGGTTTGTTTGACGTTTTACAACCCACCAAAATTGAAGAAGGTAGATATTGCTTTGTTAATGGCCTTTTAACGAGCTATCTCACGTTTTGTAAACAAAGTTTTTGTTGTTAAAATGAGGCCAACAAAAATCCCATTTTTCAGGAGTCTATAAGCCTATGATTGATAACAATAAGTGACGTAACGCGAATATCGCTTATAATAAGATCAAGATCGCGTGAGATACGTCAGAGAATTCATTGGCGGAGCGACAGTTTTGGCTTAAAAAAGAAGGCTTTTTTGCCGATTTTGATTTGTGTTCAACAGTAACATCAGCGACTGAGTGCCTTGGGCTACATTTAAGGTTTTTACGAGTTGATTAAAACGATTTGTCTTCTCTATCGCACAACTTGAATTGCAAATATTTTTGTAACACTTTTATAGCGTTTTAAAGTTAGCAGATTCAGTGGGGAGCCGAGGGGTCCAGGGATTTTTATACTGCTAGAAAAAAATTTTGCGCTCGCTACATATGTGGAGGAAGGTAGTATTCTTTCTGAAATTTATACCGCCATTCATTGATTCCAAGTTTCCTGGATTCCGCCCTACTGATTATTTTAAAACGTTTGAGTAAAGTCAACTTGGCAAGATTGCTCTTTGCACGCTTTCATGAGTCACGCGGAAAACTTAAGTTGGGGCATCTATCACGTCTATGAAAAATAAAGAATAATTTGCATTGCAAAACACTCTCCACTATTTGGTTTGCATAATTTATCATGGTATTCAAATCAGCTCCATTGTTAAACCGCGTGGCAAAACACAACACAAAATCATAACAAACGACGCCAACGTATGCGGTACGCGGTATAAGAAAAGTTTTTACCGGTTTTTAAAGAAACTTATGGCCTCGCCGGTCAGTAATTTTGATCATATTTTTAGCAAGGAGTCGATCTGTCCGATTTGTTTGGAAGAGTATGTGGAACCGAAGGTTTTACCGTGTCTTCATAACATTTGTAAGAAGTGCCTCAAAGAGATGTTACATCGTCATACGCAAACCTTTCACTGTCCGATTTGTCGCGCTGTTTGTCCTATACCAGAGCGCGGAGTAGCAGGATTTCCTACAAATGACTATTTAGCTCGACTAATTCGAGAATCCCCGGCAAAGAAAGTTATCCAAGAGATAAAGAAAGCGCTGAAAGAGTGTAGCGAAAAGCTGGTAATCGTGCGACGAATTCAAGACGAAGCTCGCATCGATTTGGAAAGGCAAGGAGAGATGATCAAGGAGAAAATTCACGAAGACTTTGAAAATCTTGTTGACGTTTTGCGAAAGCAAGAAGAACAACTGTGTAGCGAAGTAGACAGTTTGGTTGAAAAAGAAGAGAAGAAACACCCTGCGTGTTTTCTATCATTGCAAACAGAAACGTTATTGACTCACATCGAAGGTCGCATAAAGCTTAGAGATATACTGGATATTGCGAACGACAAAGAACACTTCATGAACAGAATCAGAGACGCTAATGTCGCCTGTACTAAACTGAGTCATCTGCATTCTGCGGAAACCGAAAAACCCAAAACTTTGTTTAAGTTTATAGGCAACAAAGAAGTCCTTCAATGCGTCAGTGGGAACATGTTTGGTTTAGTGACTTTGAAGGGACACGAACCTTCAAACACGCTAATTCAATCACCTGTTTCAGAGAACTTACAAAGCCTTGATGTGTTAAAACCGGGTACAAGGTTTCATTCTTTGGACATCCCGCAACCTTTCAAGAAAAGATTTCAGCCTTTTGCTGTCGCTATGAACGATGAAGGCAGTATTGCAGTAAGTGATCAAGGAAATCACTCAGTGTTGCTTTACAGCAAAGGAGGGGAGTTTTTAGCTCGAATTGGTGGTAGAGGTTCAAGCCAAGGGAGTCTTGAATCGCCGACCGGTGTGACGTTCTTGTCACGGCATCTGATCGCTATCGCCGATGGTTGCCTATTCGGGAATCCAGCGAGAATTCAAGCGTTCGACAGCTCGGGTCGATTCACTCGCTGTTTGGTTAAATTATACGTGAATTCTCATTGGTTCACAAGAGTTTCAGTGGGCAATAACGACCAGCTGATAGTGACATGTACCCCTGTGATGCCGGGTTATGATGCCTGTATTAAGGTGTTCAACACCAGCGGAGATGAAGTACTCTGTTTCGGAACAGGACTATCAGGCAAACTTTTGCATCCTACCAAAGCTGTCTTGCACAACAACGAGTACTTCGTATCGGACGTGGACAAAAAGAACAATCGCTGCATGGTGAGTGTCTTTGACCAACACGGCAAATATCTAAGGGCTTTTGGCGAATGCATGCTCAAGAAAGACCCTAACGAGCACGCCTTTTATCCTCTGGTGATTGCATTGGATGTAGCTGATTTCAGGGTATTAGCGTACAGTGGATTATACAGACTTGTGCGCTGTTATTTTCCTAATGGTGCTTTAGATTCTTACTATAATACACTGGGAGGGGTCACTGATATGGCGGTCACGGGGGATGGGAGAGTGTTTGTTGTTTGTGGAGGTGCTGGGGAGTTTCCTCATAGTGTGCAAGTAATTTTTCACTACTAACAGGCAATTTAAGGGGAAGGAAGACTCGATGCTGCCAAAATATTCGCGTGCGTTTAGCCAGCGATTTTAAAGATATGCTATGTTCATTTGTCCTTATTCTGTTAAATCTACACGTAGGAATGAAAATATGAGCCATAGTAGCGCAGATGAAACAGATGAACCAAACCTGAAAAACAACTTGTTTTATATAAAGTGTTAATGAAATATTTTTATTAATAGATATGCATTAAACTTTTTTTAGTAACTAGGTCACTGCGGTTATTTAAGTGAAGTATTTGGTTTTAACTCCGTGATCCCAACCGGTTTGTATACAGTTTTGTATACAGTACAATAAGTAACTTCACTTTCAAAAAACAACATCTATCGCGTGTTTTTTTTTTAAATTAAAAAGTAGCCTAGTATCTTCTGTTACGAAAAGTTTTATGCTATGTTTGGGGCTTTGTTCATTGTCTTGGGTTTGAAATTGGGGACATTTATGCTATAGTGGGGTTCTATAGTCGATAGGACCAATATTTTAGAGATATTTTATGTAAATAAATCCAAACGTCCACTATTTTAAAGGATTGTTTGGTTTGTTTTCGCTTTGAAAATATTCTTAAATTGTACGTGTCAACATTTTCAGAGGGCAACTAAAAATGAACAATAAAGAGTCTTAACTTGAGTTTGACTTTTTAACAACAGTATCTTCTCGAATCCCTCTTTTTCCGTCTGACTGTATGGCTTTTCTTCAGTCCTTTTTCTCTCTTTTTTGAGATATGTCCAGGTTTGAACTCTGTCGAAAAAATTTGCTAGCAATTTTTTTTCGCAATAAATTTCTTTTTTTGCGACAGAGTCAAATCCTGGACATAAAGGCTCTTTTTGTCCTTCCCAGTATTCCACGCGATACTACTTACTTGCCCCAGGCGTTTCGCATTTTAGATAACAAAAGAAAGGAGACTGGGAATTAGTGTGCACTTATGTAAACAAAAAAAAGAAACCGAATTGCGTTATTGTACAACTGTTAATCTTCCCACCGACAGATTTGGAGGTTTGTTTACTTGCCCCAGTCACCACTACCATCAGAACTAATTCAGTGCGTTTCACCTGTGGATATATCATACCAATAGAAAACGAAAATTTATAAGCGATCTGGGCGTGCGGTAGCGTGGCCGAGCGGTCTAAGGCGCTGGTTTAAGGCACCAGTCTCTTCGGAGGCGTGGGTTCGAATCCCACCGCTGCCATGGTCACTTTTTACTCGAAAAAGATTTTCATTCTTTTGAAAAATTAATTAATTATGACAGGACGCGTCAACATCAAACGCATCTAACTGCTTCTGTATTTTTAAAAAATTCAGAGGAACTCGCTGAAAAAGCTTTTTTGTCTGAAAAAGACAGCTAATATGAGGAGAAAGCCTGCGTTAGAGGCAGCCAACATGTCGGTCAACATGTCGGTGGCCACACGGCAATGTGCAACTCTCCTTTGCATCCTTTACACGTTACATCCGTGAGCCAAAAACAAAAAAGTACTTCGATAATTCATATATTGAGAAAAAAAAAGATATTGTCGCCCGATATGGGACTTGAACCCATGACCCTCAGATTAAAAGTCTGATGCTCTACCGACTGAGCTAACCGGGCGGCTCCCAATCAATTAGTAACGATTCGCTTCATTTGTAAAAACAGTGCAAAGAAAGACCCAACGCTTTGATTATCAGTAAAAAATAATAATTAACGGGCAAGGTTGGTTAATTCTGCTCTTCTTCTGTTTTTCGGTTTTTATCCTTCCGTCATGGGCTCCTGCTTCCGTTTAACCCTTGCACGTACACGCAAATTCACACCCCCACCGCGCTCCAGGGGGGGGTGGGGAGTTGATGGAACCTTCCCCCTTGCGTTTTTGATATATCGCGGAAGTTCAAAACGATTTTGCCTTCAGTGGAAAGCCTTTGATCTTCTCTACAAGAGGAGGTATATTTTATGGGTGGTGGCGTTGCTGGAGGTCTGTGACGTCACCAAACATGGTCGCCATCTTGGATTTTATCAAGACTTAGGAATCAGGTAATATATAGATTTAGCCAGGGCTAAAAGCGAAGCTCCAATTAATAAATTTATAATTTAAATCAAACAAACTTTTAATCCACAAAAGGGCACATGCATGTGACTTTTGAGGGAAAGGCTAAGTTATTTTAGAGTGAAACATCTTACATCGAATTGATAACCTTATATGTACACCCAAAAAATAGCAAACATCTTGATTCACATTCAAGATCACAGTAGATTAGGCCTCGAAAACAAATTCTTGGAAAACAAATCACGCCGAATTTTTTTCCGTTCAACAGGTTTACTTTGCAAATTCTTGCCAACAAATCTGGGGGTGTTTAAACCAACCTTTTATAATTTTTATACATCACATTTGAGGTGAAACAGTACTATTTATCATACAGACTTCGGACAGAATACGGTATTTCACAATTTTTCAAGACAAATTGTACTCAGTAAATTTTCAGGCCGATCACTCGTGGGCTTTAAGCGAAACCGTTCAAAAATTTCCAAAATCACCCATACGGCCAGCTGGTTCTCGTTTTTATAGTGCGAGCTGTCAGTGTGGTCGAGTGTTTGAATGAACTTTAATAGAGTTACGCTTCAACATAATAGCGAATTTATTATTATTATTTTTTTTGTTATTTAATGGTTTCAGTTGTAACGATGTGTAATCTTATAAAGCGTTTGATACGCGCGTCGACATTTTTGAGTACTCCTGCAAGCGATGTTCATGAACGATGAAAACAAACGGCACAGACAAGCGATTAAAATTGCAAGAGAGACTACTAACAATCAAAAAAAGAAATATAATTTGGTGAAACATTTACAGAGACAACAATTTTCATTCACGAAGAGCAAGAAAATCGCTCAAAGTTTTCTCTCTACAGCCAAATTTATAACTAAATATTCTTCGGAACGTTTCTTTCTATATGTGGTGAGCAAATATATCTGAAGGCTTTTTAAAGTTCTGTAAGCTTATATCAAACCTGATGATAGGTCAGATCATTGACTCAAATCCTACAAACGTGCAACTTGCCGCATAAACTGTCAGCGTGAACCGTGCAAGACTTCATGAAATTAGATATAACAAAAACAAACATCAAATACAATAATTACTCAGGCTTACCATTCGAGATTTAGTTCCTAAAAAGCTATCAAGGAAGGCCACAGTTGCTTGAGACTTTTAAACCCTCTTACGCATTAAGCAAGGTGAAAAACGATGCCATCCAAAAACGAATTACCGAATTTTGACAAGCGACGCATTTCTCAACCAAAAACCCTGTATACAAACCAGCCATGAATAACAGAAGACTCTTGATAGCAGCTGTATTTCATTTTGTACATCCAGAGGAAAAAGACAGTTAAAAACATCACAAGTTGACACAAAACTCTGTCAGCTTCAGCTGTCAAAGTAAACAACTTTCGAGATGCTGCATAATTTGTCCGCATGAACTCACCTGTCAATTTTTGACCAATCAGAGTATAAAAATTGGACGTAGAGCGTGACCAACGCGTGACCATGGTAAGATAAGGTCTTCCCCACCAGTACGTTTAAAAAAACTGGCTGAATTTTCGCTTCCGAGGCCAATTTGAAGCCAAAATCCTAATAGTGCGGGGCCATAGTGACATAAAAACAACATATTTGATATGAATCCTTGGAAAAACAAACTTGAGCCTGCGATCATTTGAAACTGGTAATTTGTCAGCAGATAACTTCAAAAAAATATCGACCTCGATGGGTCGACACTTGAGCCCGCGGTACGGTCAGGTGATACTGGTCAGCGGATGACCTGTTTTGACAGCTGTCAATTGATCACAACATTGATGTGCAATTCGTTTTCTCTTGGGCTCCCAAACTAGCTAAAAGTGTGAGAGTAAACATTGGTTTTCCTGTGGTGCGGACGGACGGTCGGGGGGCGGTCGGTCGGTGTACGGTCACGTGATTACCAAATTTTCTGGGATGGGTAGATTACCTTAGCTATGGGGCTCCGCCCACGCGCGCGCGCGTGGAGCTCTGCTAAAAACAATGAGAATTAATAGTTTTTTTGCGCTTATCATGTAAATTAACAAATGAATAATTACTTTGCATCACTTTCTCCACAAAATTTACTTTCATTCCTAAAAAAGTTGAAGAAAACATGTATTTTCACTCAAAAATGGTTTGACCACCTGCTACTTATGGCGTCATATCTCGTAACCATAGAAACTGACCATCACTAAACTTGTCTCAAAACGTGTGCGAGGGATGAACGAACAGCCACAGAAAACTACAGGCCCCAGTTGTTCAAAAGGTGGATAGCGCTATCCGCTGGATAAATCTCTATCTAGTGGATAGCGTAATTGGTTTCCCTAATACTTATCCACTAGATTGTGATTTATCCGATGGATAGCGCTATCCAACGTTTGAACAACCCAGGCCAGGTGGTGAAGTTTTATCGTCTAGGAAAAAGCCTTGTACGTCCGAGGGTTAAAACAGCAGTTTTGCAATAGCTCGTCCTTATTGTTGCTAGGTAACGGATAGTCACAGTAATGTGCTGGTGTTTCACGTATTTAGAAGGCAAATTTGACCAGTAAGACGCAACAAGCTTGTCCGACTGAGCACATGGTAAACGAAGGAACTGCGCACGCACAAAGTTCGGGATATAACAAATGCCCCTTTTGAAATAAAAGAAAGGAAAAACAAAAAGAAGCCTAATACAACGTTAACTAATGTAAGAAGCGCATGTAAACAGTTCTCGTAATTCTGGTAAAGCTATAGAACGTTTGAGGAGGTTTGCGCTTTCTGAGTGGGTATCTTCGCTTAAGCTTTTCGTGGTTGACCTTTGTAGTGTCGGATCTTGCACAGACACATCTGACGATGTACAGGAGGTATCAGCAGGTGCAAAAAATGTTCGTGAAAGGGAAAATCGTATGAAACACTTAAGTGATGAGGACATCGCTTCTAGGTGCTAGACCTCGTGTCTTCCCTCCCCGGGGTGATCG